ATTTGGGTAACTCGGGAACTGAGAAAGCTGGGAACCTGGGATTTCAAGGGAATGTTCCCTGCCCAAGTATAGCGTGAATAACTAACTTCCTGAAATTCGAGGAGAGGTTTCCAGCTAGCGGAATTTCGAATAATCTTATTACAGCACGAAACACTACAAAAACACATGATCGCACGGGCCCGCCCACTGCGCGTCGCCAATGATTTTTACCGCGAATACGCCGGGTACGGAAAGGGCTCAGGAGGGGGGTGCACTGGGGAGGGCACAGGAGGGGGGAAGAGCAGGATTGGCAATGCGTGAGCATATTTTTTGGGTGTGGGATTCGAGACACGGGAAGGGGGTTGGGGTGGATGTAAGAGGAGATGGTGTGTGCAGGTTTTGCGCGCAGGATTGCGGAGCAGGGGAGGGTTTGAGTAGGTGCATTGAATGGATACGTGGCGTAGACGCTTTGGCAGTTGCTTGGACCACGTAAAGGAGAGGGGAGAAGATGATGGGTGAAAGGCAGAGAAGTAAGAAAAAAGCAAAAGCAAAGACGAAAATAACAGCAAGAAAGGCAAATGAAAAATCGCTATCAGTAGGGGAATTCCCCATCCAGAAGGCTAATGCTTAGGTAAAGCTCGAAGCGAATAAGGTGAAGCTGATGCTTAGGTAGAGCTGAAAGCGAATAAGCTCTTAGCTTTACCTAAGCATCAGTTTCATAAACAAGTTCATAAATGAGTTTGTTCCCCTCCTCTATCCAGTCCCCAAACCCTGCCTGCAGAGCCAACTACTGCCGTTCCATACTCCTCACTAGCCCCTTTGTTCCTCTCATCTATCTTGCCCTAATCCGTGCCCCTAAGCCGTATCCGGACACCACCAATCAACTCCCCCACCATCAATGTGCAACATTCCCAGCCCACGCGATCTAATAGCCGAACGCCAGGTATCGCTATGCGGTACATCTGGCCAACTGCCAAGCGGTGTCGACGAGACCCGACGTCAAATAGTGTTGGTGGCGATGCAGCGTAACAGCCGAGCTGAACCGAACCGTGTTTTTTTTAAGTAATTGCCTCATTTTTAGCTAAATCAGATGAATACACATTCGAACCTGCTACGAGACTCCCACTTTCTGTCGGAGTTTTTGAAATTTTACTTCTGTAAATGCTCCTCATAACAGAAAAATTTCCTCCTCTTTCCCACCCATAAAAATATCCGTTACCGTTCTGTTTGTGACTATTCCGCTCTTTTCCTTAATCTGTTCATGGTTTTCCGTTGGTTTTCGACTGGACAACTAATTTCAGTACAAGATTTCCAAGTTTATTTCTTCCTCAGCCTGCTTGTTTTCTCAGACTAAAGTATCGTGGTCACTATTAATTAATTTGCAGTTCCTGGATTTTTCGACAATACTTTATCAAAGCATTCAAAAATATTAGCGAATACACGAATGTAATTTGGGATGAGATCAAGCTGGACTGAATTCATTTTTTGAAGTGTTTGCTGACCTACTACAATGGTACATGACACTACTCGCAAGCTTAAATTATTATTTCGATTCCATTAGAGCAGAATGGGACTTCCTCTGACTAGTTTATAGGCTTTGACAGCAAACTGCTACATATTCATGTCGGAAAGTCAAAATCACCAACTTGCTTCTTTACAATTCTTGAAAAAGGCAGCGATTAACAGCCTCGCTAGCAAATACGAGGTAATGTGCCATCACTTGAGTTATTCCTGAGTACACCGGATTCGAATTCAACTTCGGTTTTGCACTGGACCAATCAACAAAAATGTAAACGTATGCTCTGTTATTCTGGCCCATGCTTTATTTTCCCTTGTTGGATAGTCGGCTTAACAAATAACCTGCTTTGAAAGGATCTGCTAACACTTACTTGGTGACGGTAATTATACCATCCATTGGAACCGGCCACAAGTACCACCCAAATTTTCCCTCTCGTTCGAGCCTGATTTTCCTCGGAGCTGTCCTCATTTTCATTTAAGTTTGACGCACTGCAAATGCTCATTCTTAGTCGGTTGATCAGAGCAGCAAAATCCCAATTGTTATTTGACGCTGCAAAAACTAATGATCGCACCGGCAAGCCCAAGCTGCAATGCATCAAGCTTGCCGGTGTGATCGTGCGTTTTTGCACTAGACTTCTAACAGCAGACATGGTCCCTACAGTGTAGTTTAACACTTGGACTCATATTCGCTGTGTCTTAGCCTCTTCCGGCATGTGGGGGAAGGGCGTCGGTTGGGATGAAGGTGCTGCACTATGAGGCCACGCGAACCTCCAGGTGCACGATTATTATTTTTTTGCATAAATCCTGGTCGTTTCCGGTGAATGCTCGCTTTTTGAAAAAATGCAAATCTGAGGGAAATCGGAAGAGGACCATGAAATCTACGAAACTCGGTTATTGGTAAAATTGAGTATTTTTCACTTCTGCGAGGAGGAAGTTTGATCCGCAAACTGACTTAAGACCATACGTGAATATCCCTGCAGTCTCAGCTTCGCAACTTGTCTAGTAAGCGAAATTGCTACTTTGCTACAAATATATTTAAAGTATCACGCGTTGCGGCACAAGCGCAAATCGAAATTCAGTTTAGGTGTACGCTTTCCCATATGAGTGATAAATACTCTGACAAAATTTCAACTACTGTTTTCCGACCAGTTTTCGAATTAGCACAGTGCCAACTGCGAATTTTGACGTGACCGTATGCGCGGTGTAAGCATGCGCACTGAATTTGAAATGTTTAGCTCACACATGCAAAGAGGATATCCCATCAAAGTTTCAGCTTTCTATCTTGTCTGGTCCACAAAATCGTTTTCCACCAAAGAACCGTACATATTTTTCTTGGGGCCAGTGTGTGAAATCAAGGCGCGTATGAGCGAAGATTTTAAAATGGGAGAGTGACACATGGAGTGAGAATATGTCCCAAAATTTCAGCCTCCCAGCTTTCCTGGCTGCTGACTTGAAAGTGAGTGAAAAAGTTCACTCGCTTCCGAACACACATACACATGGACGACCTCTCGACAATATACGTTTTTGCTCGCTGTAACAGCGCTATAGCGCTGCACAGCAAAAACGTATAAAGAGTATAAATCGTTTTCATGCGGAATCAACGAGTAACATCGCCAGGAAAAGTTGTGTCTGTCAAGAGACAGACACAACTTTTTTAAAAAATTCAGCTTAACAAAAATTCAAATTCATTATTCTCGAAAGCAGTGATGACTTTATTGTGGCACCTTTCAGTCATAAAGGGTTTTGATTAGAGTTTTATTCACTCCCAATCCTCTTTCCCAGTCTTTTCGCCTTCCCTTCTCAATTTGGCAACTGAAAGAAACAAAGATTAAAATTCAACCAGTTATTTAGGCTCCAAGCTTGAACGGGAACATAACATACATTAAATCGCTGAACAGCCGGAAACGTTTGGCAGTAGCGCAGTTTACAGTGACGAAGGCAAGAAGAGCGATGAGTGCATAGGTTGAAAGCATATTGTGTGAGAGCATAGGCACCAACATGGTCACGACTTATCAGTAGCAGCAGCACCTAGTAAAGAAACGGCTATTACAACTTATGAAACGGCCTTTACAGAGGCCTTATCAACGTAACATCAGGAAAAAATCGCTTAAGCAGCCAATCAACTAGCACTACTTTTATAATCAGAACGTGTAACGACGCTTTTTTTTATATGAAAACACAGAACTATAGCTTAGCTATTTGCTTTCTTATCTGTGGTCTCAACTACCCTAATCAAGTAAGCGCAACACGTTCAAGAAGTGAAGCGCTCCACTTTACCAGCAGTAGCATAAACAATGCAGCAAGTGCAGGATCTCATTGGTCTTGAGAATTATTGTATTTTTCCTGCTAAATGCATCAGAAATCGCACAAATTTTTACGGTGATATTTTAAGAAATCTCAAACCTCTTATCATCAGACCGCGGAAGCATATTGGCATTTTTTTTGTTTTTATGTAGGTGTCACTTGGCGCCAGTATGACTTCACGTTTTTGCGTTAAGGGCCTGATTTCCATTTGTCCATAATTAAAAGGCAATGCTACTTGAAAAGTGAACTTGAAAGTTTTGCATCATGCACTGTAGAAAAAACACTCTAAAATTTGAGTGTCCTGCCTTGACCAGTTTCTGAGTTAGCAGCTTTCCTTCTAAAACCTTCACGTGTCCTATGTGAAACTCGGACGTGCGCAAAAGCTGATATCAAGTTCATGGGGTCGCACTTGACTAGGGAATCCATTGGAAGAATTTAATCATCTGAGCTTACCTGAATGCCCTGTTGAAATACCGAACGAACGCACATACAAGCATACACAAATATACACGCATGTACGCACATACGTACATACATGTACACACACATACACATACAACCACGAATAGTCTCACAATATACGCCTTTACATTTGCATAAAGGCGCAAAACGCATAAAAAGTAAAAAGCAAGGGATTTTGGGCAATTTATTTTGGTATTTAATGATCTTTGCTTGTTCGGCAGACCGTCGACCTACTTCACTATAACCTTTTGTCTACTGTTCTTATCAAATAGTTCTAGTGGAGCGTCTCTCCGGCGCCACTGCTTGAGAATTGATGGCGTGAGCTGGCATGTCGCCAGTGCACAAAACGGGCAATAAAGCTTGTAGTAGAAATTTCGATACTGTTCAGTCTACTGCTTTAGCTTATAATCGGATAAAAATACAGGCTTCGTCAATCGCTACGGAATCTTCTGATTTCTTTATTGCTTGCCTTCTGTACTGGCCTAGTGCGCCTGTCAGCGACGGGTGGATTCGTGGATTTTCATAGCTACTAAAATACAAGTGGAACAGGGATAAAGTCTAAAACATGGAGCACTCTGTCCTTTGTAGATACATCAGATGAAAGATGAAGGATGTTCTCGAGAACAGCATCCATCGGCGGAAGTCAGCAAGGATTCAAGAAAAGCAGGACCTGAAGAAATACAAGAGGAAATTGCTATTGTATTATTCCACAACGGCTGCGCTGAAAAATTAAAATGAACGTAAACCATGGACCAAACAGACATAGAGAGCATGTGTAAAAAAATTTCATACGAATCTGTTCACGAACCGGATCTCACATCATGTACTGACATTCCTGCACTTTTAATCCATATCATCAAGCAGTATATTCCTCTGCCTATCAAGAAGTTAATAAGCTGTTTTCACATGAAAAGTGGGATGGATCCGGGTAGTAATGACGCTAACATTGAACTTATCAAAAATGAGCAGCAGAAAATTTGCAAAGCCCTCGTTATTAGGTTCATTTTGTACTTGGCTGATTGGAAGATATCCAACAGCTGAAAGGAGCCGAAAATCATTTTGCTGTACAAAAGCGCTAACATATACAATCTAAAAAACTGAAGCCAGTCACTCTATAAGCTACACTTATTATTAACTGACCAACAGAACTCCTCGATGAACAGCAGCTGTGGTGTCGCGCTGGATTCCAAAGTAATTACAGTACGACGGAACACATTTTCGCTATAAACTAGCTGCAGAAGCGTTCAAGGAAGTATCAACTTCCTTTTCAATTCCTGTCTATCGAATATGAAATAACATTTGATAATGGGGATAGCGTGTTCCAAAGAGGTGCTGCACGTGCATTGATAACAAATGACGGTACTGACTGGAAATATGCAGCTCAGGATTAAAGAGTATCCCAGCAAAGACATTAAGATAAGGTTCCTACGCCGATTGCTGGGACAGCTGTAGAATTCCTGAACATAGACGTGTTTAATATTATATTTGGTAACTAAATCAAGAGTTTACTACCAAAATCAATTTCTTGTTGGTAGGATATGGGATAACTACGGAAACACTTTTAATATATTTCTAGCGCAGGAACGTCACGAACCGTCATACTGCTAGCATGTCGTTGATCTGCTTCTTGAAGCTTTTTATGTCCAAAATCAAAATAAACTTCAAGTTGTAAAACTGGAAAGAGAAAATTCACCTTTTGTTATCGAAAAAAGTTATTGTGTTGTTCACGATGAAGGGGATGAGATCTACGACATCAAGCCGCTGTTCTTTGGTCAGGAAATGTATTGTCCAAAACAAAATTTTGACAACTCGAGCAACTGCTAACCACCACGGATTAGTGGAGCACTGACAACAGTATTTGAATGTAAGGAGTGGAGAGAACAGCTTCACTCGATGTTCGGCTTCTGGATTTCATCAGTAGTGATGCGGTGTGTCGAACAGCCGCCCCGAAATTTCATCATAACCCCTTGTCGATCCTCATCTCTTAGCTGAATGTTTTGCTTGCTGCCACCAAAATTCCGAGAATACAAAATCAATCATTATTACTCTGAGTTGCAAGATTTCTCAATTTTAAAAAATGCAATCACTAGAATACCGTTAACGCTTGTCCATCTTTTCTGCAACCAGTGCCCGCTCGAAAAGGTTGGAGATGGATAAAGTGTTTTAGCCGGAAACGGCATTTGGTGTGATCAAATCTAAAGGGATTTTACCGTTAAGTTCGATATACATACATATATATATATATATATATATATATGTATATTTATGTATATATATACGTACGTACATATTGAACTGAAAATACCTTTCTTTAAAAGTTTTAAAAATTAGCCAACAAAATACGACAAGAATCCTGAAAAATGGCATTATAAGCAGAGATTTGTCTAATCCGAGAATAGTTTTGCCTTCTCTACCACTTTTTTCATCCCCCTTTCCTTCACAATGCCACTTCACTAGTTTAGTGAGCATTGGTGTCATTTTCTTCCTGGAGGGTCAAGTCTTGTCAGCGTTTTTTTTCAGACCCTCGTAGACGACTTCAGTGTTGCCACTACCCCAGCTAGAGTAATTTGCTCACACACGCATCATCATGAATGCTGTACGGATAATTGCTGGTGCCTTTTAATGAGCTACTTTTGAATGGACCCATCGCTTCATTAGCATAGCATCCCACGTCTCACTTGAATCATATTTACCCATACCTCTCTTCATCACCCCCCCTCCCCACATCTGTGCTTTCCATCTGGCCACCTTTGGGCCTACCGTTTCTCCTCTGCAACCACTAGCACAAAAAGAAATACACGGAGGAGGAGGCTGTAGTATCAAATAGCGTTTGAATGATAATGGAAGAATCACTGCTTCAATTTCTTGGGATGCATATGCAACCGGAACTCTAAGAGTCCCAGGACATCGAAACCTCTGTTGTGCCATTATGTGCAAATCCAATTAACAAACTCGGAATTTTTACTAAAGATATCAAAATTAGAAACAAAACGCATCAAAATTTATGTACGTACAAGTATCAGAGGTGGCGGATAAAGCGACTGCAGTACAACAATGATGAAATCGAACTTATACAACCAAATGCTGCCCTCCAAAAGGTGCGGAATCGTAGGATTATGTACAACAATAACAATAAAGAATTAAAAAATGCTCGAAACGCGAAAATTTTGTTCAAATTCTTAAAAATCAAAAACAGTCAACGTTGGGGCAAAAAATATTCGGCATGCTCTAAGAACATTTCACTGCTTTGAATAGCACTATTTATAAATTTTACAGTTGAAAAATTGGAAAAATTTAAGCTCGCGTAAATCCCCTCGATAGGGTGGCAGCGTTAGAGAAGCCCAATTTGACTTGATTTTATCTACTCGCATAATTTTTACTGAAGCAGAAGACTATCTGATCTTGAAACTCTTTTCCTTTAGATTATCGATAGACTTCGAAACTGCCCAATGGTGAGAAATCCACTAAGACGTTCAAAGAGTGAAGCCTTATTTGGTCTGCACAAAGTACTGCAGAGTATTGGTTCGGCTTTTGCTTTTCGAATTCCCGGGAAGCTTCGAGACTGTCCAGTCATGAGAAATTAATTCACGGCTCTTAAGAATTAACTGAGTGGCTCTCAAATCGAAAACTATATACATACATATGTAGACAAGCTGTGTGGGGGGATTAGCACTGCTATTGTGCAGAAGGTCGACAGTCAGATTGCGCCAATAGAAAAACCAATCCATTTCAGGTTTATTACGACGGTAAATTGATACCGGAGCATTCTAGAACGTCGAACTCGCCATCGATTTACTTGTAAGCAATTTTCTTGTAAGCAATAAGAGAGCCAATTAAGAAACATGTCAGCGCGTTGTTAAAGCTGCTGATAAGTGGTATCCTCATAATAGTTCCTAGTGCCTCTGGCTCTTTCAGAGAGCAAATTTAGAGGGTTTCTGAACTGATGTCTATGACTACTCTTTTTTTCTGTAAAAGTAATCGTAAACAAAAAACAATAAGAGAAAACAATACAATAAAAATAAGAGATTCGTATATACATCAATAACAATCCTATAACAGGTACTGCTCGTGCTCATAAAACGACTCATTTAATAAGAGGTAGCTCAAAAAAACTGTCTGCACATTAGAATGGTTGCAAATAAGAAAGCGAACCAATTTTTTGGTGTATTTAGTGCCGTTATTCAACAAAATGATGCACACCCACTTCCGGTTACCGTAGCAAAATGAAGGCTGGTGCTCACCGGCAAGACGTACCAGGATTACAACGAGCATTCCTAAACAGTACCCTCGTTCCGAGTTCTGCTATAACGACAAATAAATCGCAGAGTGTACAAACTTATCACCAAACTTAGTAAGACAGATTCAGTTCCGGGCATAAACAGTGACAGAAAGCAACAATAAAATGCTTTGATCAATGAAAAGAAGGCCACTTTCCGATGTAAAAAACAAGCATTTCAGAGCTCTCGGGCTTACAAAAACATTGGACAAAAAATTTCGTTTTTCCCAGCCTTCAGAACTTCGAATATTGATTGTGCATAATGAAGCTCCCGAATTATGAAAATGCTTTTGTTTTCGATCGTCAAAGAATACATCGCAAACGATGAGATCAACAGTTACAACAGTCGCATGAGAAGCTTCAACGCTGATTCCAGAAATAAATTTTAAATTTTTTCCGGCAGAATAGGTGTGCTGTATCCTTGACAATGTCGTAACGCCTTGTTGTACATATGCGGTGTTATACAGTCACTTCGGGCATAAATTATATCAGCGGGTTGGTACTTGTGCTTCGGAGCTGTTGGTACATTTAGGCAGCATAACACACGCTTCCAGCTCTGAAAATAAGTAGAGATGATGCAGCGTTCACTAACAGCTAAGTCTATGTCTATTCTTGTTATATGTATATATGTACACATATATGTATATATGTACACATGTAACACAAGGAAATATATATATTTCCTCGTATATATATGCGTACATATATATATGTATACATATACACATATATATGTATACATATACACATATATATGTATATACCGATACTGTATACGCAGATTCACTCTTATCCTAATGATCAGAATCTTTATTCATTTTCCCAATTGATTACCTTTGCAAAAATCACACCATGGATTTAGAACTCAAGCTTTCCCTCCGAGTCCTTTAAGATTTTAAGTGAATGTGGAGGAGCTCCAGCTTCACAGCTTTGTCAGTAACCCAAAATACCCACCCCACATATCCTATCCACTCATACTTTTTCTGCATGTAATTATGCCCTGTTGCTGCCGGAAATCAGGCGATCATGTGTTTTTGTTACAAGATTTGCTGTCTGAATTCGAAGCTGCAAGATCCAGGAATTCGCAGTCACACACTCAGTTGAAAACCAGGTTTGGAGTCAAAAGTCAGGACAAAGCATAGATTTCGTGTTTGCCTCCATAACTGAGTGAATTTATCAAAATTCTCAGCCGATGGTTTTTCTGGAACACTAGTCTTACGTGTTGAGAAGTTTTAATTTATTATCAGAGCAAGAACCTGGATGGTTTTTCGAGAAATAATCCAAACGCCGGATGTCCAACCAACAACCAGCATCGATGCACTTTTTATCAACGTTAGTAAAGTAAATGTGTCTGCTGAAAAAGTTTTAAAAATCAAAAGCGCGGGAAGTTTAGTTACATTTTAGGTCTCTTGAAGTATCTGCGATGAAATGGGTCGAGAAAAATTTCATGTGCGTGGAATATAGTTTAAAACAATGCGCTTGAAATTAGCAGTTCATTTCGCAATTCAGAACGAATGCACAAAATAACGTGCATATGAAAAATAAGTGCGAACATTTGAAGTATCAAAACAGTGATAAAAATTTTTGCTAGAAGAAAATTGCCACCTTTTCTTTTTTTCTTTTTTTTTGACTGTGCAGTGTTATTCTCATTTCATTCAAGAATGGAGAAGTCAGTGCGGAACAGTTTGACAAATTTAGTATGATAACCGAGAGACGGCTGGAGGACACAAAAATTTTATTGCTATTGTTTTTAAGAAACGGTCAAAGATAATCAACTCTTTTATTGCCTATGAACGTACCGCGAATCCAGCTTTAAACCTCAGCACTAGATAAGGCGCAAAAAGCGCCGGAGACCTCCTTAAGCCGTCAGTAATTGAAGGAACGCGTGTAACAATCGTATTTCAATTTCTGAACAGTTCGGAGAAAGTCAATCATCCCTTATGAGCAGAGCACATACTCTTGTACAGGTATTTAGTGGTAACTGCAGCTGGTTTAAGTGATTTCGTGTAGCACTGACACCAAAATGAGAAGAGAGAAACAATACGTTGTTGATCGAACTGTTCGGCGCAACTGCATAACTGCGAACGCTCCCAGAGCGGACGATAATGCTGCTCATACGATAGGACCATGAGGACAAATATTGCCGGTACTATGTAAAGCACCGAGAAGATGCCAATTTTGGACATAAGCTGCGTCATTTTCGACGTGTTGTCGCCGCCTGGATGGTGCTTCTGCATTAACGACCGAATGCGCCATAGATTAAAGAAGCCGACAATCAGAAAACACACTCCAATAACCAAATATATTGAGAGTGGCACTGAAAAAATATTCGCTTAATAAAAAAGACAATAAAATTGTGGTAAAAAAGTAAAATGTGCCTATCAAATTTTGGAAACCTTTCCCAATTTTTTTGCAATTTTTCAGACTGGGATTTGTGATAAAATCCTGTACAGAGTACTGAGGCTATTAACTACATGAGGTTCATAAGGTACAGTTTTCCAATCAAATCACTAATCTAATGAAAGATTTATACCGAAAACAAATGTTCTCAGATGATCGACATTGGTATTCCCAACATAACAAATTCCGCTTAGCGGATCGCCATCCACAGCACCGAAGATGAGCACTGTAACTGTTTGGATAGCCGGTATGGACCAAGCGACAAAATGAAAATAGTTTGCGTAACTAGCAATCGCTTCGCTAGACCACTTGTTAGCCGCTGCTAGAACCCAAGTTAGAGATAAAATGACCCACCACACCGATCCTGCCATCCCAAAGAAGTACACCAGCAGGAAAACCTGAAATAAACTGCTATGTAAATTGTGAAGTGTTAAAGGATTGCATACCATCCAGACTAAATTCGAACATGTTTAGGCATCTTATTAGGTCTGTGCATAGCTACAGCGTATGTACAGTCTAATTGGAACTAAAAATTTGCAGTAACTAACGCACATTTAATTGGCTTTCATCAACTAAAACTGTTCTCATGACTCCTCTGTTTTTTGTAGTTTACGCAGTGTGCACGATCGTAAGTAAATTTGCTACCATCGGTGTCGCAGCCTCTTTTTGGTTCAGCCTGGTAGACTAAGTAAAGTTCAAGAAATTAAACTAAACGATTCATTCACCTACACATGTGTTTTGAACTGATATACGCATTCAGCAGTGCTTCAGTTTTCGGCATATACCGATAAATTTTTCATGACAAAAAACCTTTCATGTCTTTTGCTTGTCTTCTCATTAACAGACACCAGAACTATCTGAGCAACAACAAATATAAACGGAAGGCTAAAACTGATTCAAAAGTCTTCATGGTTAATATGTCTTCCTATGGTACTTACCAACTGACAAAGGTTCATTTGCTGATCACTGGATCTTATGGTTGTCGTGTCACATGCGATATGCTCGTGTCCATAAATAACGCGGATGATAAAGCCAACTGATACCATCAACTGACAGAAGGCCAACAAAAATATTGGCCGCTCTGGATACTGGAAGCGTTCCGTTTCAATCAGAAATGTCAATACCGTAAATGCTGATAGTATGAAACAAGTGCCAGACCTGCAGAAAGATCTTTTTGCATGGTGACAGTAGGCCAATGAAATAAAGTATTCCGATGATTTTAAAGGAAGCAGTTCTGCAGTCACTGAAATATCCCAAGAACCTGATTCCACTACTGAAGAAGCAATGCAGACTGAAATATTTCTCTAGCCTTTGCATAAAATTCAAAAGTCAATAAAGAGCTCCATATCTAACAGCAAATCACCAAGACCTCTAAAATGCAGTCAGAAATTTGGCTATAAAAATAATTTCTAAGATGTCAAATTTTCGCAACCCCCTGTAAAAAAGTACCAAATTTACACTCGAAAAGTTATTTCAAAGGGTTAGGGCTACATAAACGTGCCGAAAATGAAAACTAACCAAGTTGTTATCCAGGCCGTTAAAAATTTTTGATCCTTGTGACTTTGTTCTGGAGCGTGGCATGGATATACACACCCGGAAACATTAGCAACACTAGCAGGACTGTCCTTTACAGCAAAGAACGGCCTGCTGCACCGACATGTGCAGTGACCTTCACTGGTATCAATACCAATCACTGGATTGTTTGAGAATCGATGTCGGATCGAAGGATCGATTTCGGACTAAAAAATGGCAAAAAAATTTATGCCGCATTTGAATTCGAACTTTCCATAATACTTCTCTAGTTCAACACTTTTAGCCCTTGAAAGCAAACAATTATTTATTTAAGACAGGCAACAATTAGAAAATGAGTCTCTTTTTTTTT